AACTATAGTTTTCGGTTCTCCCGTCCTGTTGTTAAACTCGATTTTGCCAGTTGGAACGCAATGCCACAGCAGGGGACATGATCGCTGATCAAAATCAGAACTCGAATTATGTGTCATAACCAGGCATTCCAAAACAGTACCGTTGGCTTGCATGTAAGGTTTACCATAAATACAACGATACTCTGAAACGATTAGTGCATGAATTATATCGACCGAAATTACGCAAGCATTTTATTAGTTATTAATTTCAGGCAGTACAGATATGCACCAAAATGTTCAGGTATATTCATTTTGGCTGCCTAAAAAGTCGTCGTCGATGTTGTTATAGTAATCGTCACTGAAGCAATCTCATAATTTCACAATCATCATGCGATCTTTCGTCATAGCGAACGAATTTTTGTTTTCGATTCATTAGATATGTTGATTTTAGGATGCCGTTTCTTCCAAAATTAACGGCTTTTATGCATCCAAATTTACGATATATGGTACAATACCATCTGATGCCTAAGAGAGAGTTCAAGACGCAACTGTCTCATCTGATCTTTTCTCTTATTTATGTGTACCTTACTCCACAAACAAAGTTTCAGTGACTTTGGGAGAAGGGAGAAGCTAAAGTAGCTTATGGTTTCATATCTTCAGTCCCATCCTTCTCTAGAAAAGATTGCGCTAAAATTCTTGAATACAAGATTCAATCTTAATTACGTCGCACTTTAAACTTGAAAATTGAACAATGGTCGTCATGTTTCTTACGGGATGCTGCTCAGATTTTATTACAAAAACTATTGACGTTTGGAGTCATACTTTGCTCGTTGTCAAAGCACAATGATAAAAACAGATTTGATAAATGTCAGAGCATTGAGGCTAACTTCAGGACAATAAAGGCCTGAGCAAAAATACTGTTGACAGCAATACACAACAAAGACGAGGGATCCCATAGTAATCAAAGCAAAATACAACAATAAATCTGCTGCCGTGCAACAGTGCGTCGTCGTAAAGCTTTAAATTAATTGGTGACAACATCCCAGTGAAATCTGTACTGAAAAGAACTGTAGATTTAAAAGATAAAATAACCTCTGCTCACCCAGGTTAATGGGTGCTTCAGTGAATACAATGGCACGAACTTAAGCAGTATCTAGACATCAGCTATTAATAAAAGGCTGTCACAATTAATCCGTGATAAGCCGCTTGGTTCCGAATTTAATCTCGAAGATTTGACTTCCATCAAATCTGTTTCAATCGTTATACCTTTCAGCGATTCATGTATGTCTCAAAATATAGGTAACTTGTGTAAAAAATTATATGCAGAGCAATCTCATCAGAAACATAAAGATCATGCATCGTGCTCTCTGCCAGTTACCTCCGTAAAACAAAATGCTAACCACATGAATCTATTTGGCTGAAGGATCATGCTCTCATCGTTGAAGAGGCATCGAGTAGTAATTCTGAAAGATCGTGAATGATGTTATCGCAAGAATGATGCTATGATACTACTGATATTATCGCATGCGTATTAATTCAGATTTGCATCATTTATGCTTGAAAGCTAGCTATGGATCTGTTTCAGCGTCCATGACAGACCTTCAGAAGTTTTTGATGATTTGAGGGAACAGGCTTAACGAGTACTTTGTCTTTTTATGTCAGATATTTTTATTCATGCCTTACGAATTATCTATTCTGTACAAGATTGCTGATAAAAATTTAACTGTCGTTCTAATTCAATAAATAAGCTTCGCACTTGACAGTACTGATAATTCAATGAAACCGACAGCGTCCATTACTACCATTTTACAAGCCGAAATGTTGCCGTACTTATGGATAATTGCTTTGTTTCATGTATCACTACATTACTGGTCATTTGCGTTTAATATCACTAACCGTTAC